GGCACAAATGTGTAGCACAAAACCATAACAATACATTTCAGTAACACCATTTCAATAATCCATAAACAGACCCAGCAGAACTCCCTACCTGCAGAATATTTCATCAAATAGGCCATTATCCAGCTAATCATAATCTATCAAGTTTTAGCTTAGTGCCAGAAAGATGGTTTATGATGGTGCCAGGTGGACCCCTAAATAAATTTGTTAAAATGGTCCTGGATTCTTCATTCTTTTAGCAGCTTCAGGTGTTTTAATAAGACATTAGTACTAATAGGGGGTCTTGCTTCTGAATAATCATGCATAGGATCACATTCTACACCTATTTTAATGCCTGCAAAACAGAGCCTTTTCCAATAAAACCCAGCAATGCTACTTTTTATAAGATGCTACTGTTTCTGTTTCTTTTTAGTGATTATAATTTTAAAATTGCTTTTAACGCTGTATTTTAAATGGCTGCAACCCAGCACAGGGCCTTAGAGCAAAGGGTGGTTAACAAATAATAATAATAATAATAATAATAATAATAATAATTAGAAATGGAGACGGGGTAAACTTGGTGCTCAGGTTTCCGAAAGAAACGTATTGTGGGTGTCTTCAAGTGACTTCTGATTGGCCCAGCCTTCTCACCTAGGGATTAGCCCTCCTCCCTGAATCCCAATGTGCCAGGACTGGCTGCAGCTACTGAAGAAAAAGAGCTGTTTGCACATGCTTAGGAGCGCTCTTTCTTGCAATATTTTCATGGGTCCGAGGTGAAGCTGGACAGGGGGAGGGGGAAATCATGCAAAGAGGGACGGCCCTTTATTTTATTTTTTTACTTTTTACATTTGTATGCTACCACCTGCAAGGTCACAGTGGCCTGTATGGTTCTCCCTGCCCACTCACAACAACAACCTCGTGAGGTTAACAGAGAGAGACTGGCCCAAGGTCACCCAGGCAGCTTTATGGCTGAGTGGGGATTCGAACCCTGGATCTCCCAGTTCCTAGCCTGACTTCTAATTCCTCTTCCCCTTCCCTGTCTCCTCTGAGGAGTCCCAGCAAGAGGCCAGCATCCTGTTTTCTTGCCTCTGGGGAGCCCACAAGCAGAGCACGGGGGGGGTGACAGGTGTCCCCACTGGACTTTGCCCTCCATCCCAAAATAGCTGCCCAGAGAACACCAGTAGCATCCTGAACACTCATTTTTATTAAAGAAACGTATGTTAAGCTCATGATCTGCTGTCACTTCCAGGGGTGTTTTATTTACAGGACCTTCATCTGACAGCCCTCCTGATCACTTGTCATCTTGGCAATCCAACTCTTATGTAAGAGTGATATCAAAAATAGCTGAACACACCACATACTGTGAATGTTGGATTTGCACCCACACACCCTCAGAGTGTGTGGAGAAGGTGTTCCCTTCATCAGGGTTCCCATCTCATTAGATAAATATAGGACTGAAACCACATTTCACAACCTAACCTCCATAAACCTCACCTGGCAATATCTATACCTGAGAAGACAAACAATCAGACCCATCTATAGAGTCTTTAAGGGAATGGAGGACAGGTTGGGTTTAGCACATGCAATAAAACTTAATTCTAACACTAGAGAGGTTATCGTCTGTTGTAAAGTATGTGCCCTCTCCTTCCAAAATTTAACAGCAGCCATTGAAGCCGTAATTGGTCAACCCCACCAGAATACATCTCCTCTTCAGTTTCTTCTAAAGATGTTTGCCACTAGGGGGGTAGGTGTCGGAATCTCAGCTCGGCCAAGCTGATAAGGCTCATCTTCAGAATCGCTTCCAGACGTGTTTAACGACCTCAAGCCTTTGATGAGGCTCCAAGGCACGTCCTCCCAGCAGAGTTCCCAGCACAGGAAAGGATGAGACAGTATGAGCTACATTGCTATGCTTTATTTTCTAGCTACGCAGAGAGCAAAGAAATATACATCCTCTCTCTCTGAGAGCAGAGAGCAACTGAACAACGGAACAAAGGAAACAGGAAACCACTAACGTCACATCCCGTTTCCTTTCCCATGAAACTCCAAGGTCTCTGGAATGTAAACAGAGTCCTGTGACTCCACGCAGCTGCACAGTGATAACAGAAACTAGCAGTAGGGAGCCTGTTAAATGGGATCTTCTGGATTTACAATGCAACCAAGGGCAATTTGCAATAATGTTATTGGCTTCTAGAAGATACATGGCAGCTTCAGTCCTGGTTCTCTCTTCTCTCCCCTTTCCCCTTTCCTCTTCAGATGTGTTTGTCTGAGCACATGGAATGCTGTTGGTCATACCCAAGGCAGCCTTCAATTATTTGAATCAAGAAAAGAGAAATATAACACAGGCTAATTGTAAAATAACAGCATGTAACAACAACGAAACTCACCCCAAACCCTCCCTACCCTTGTTCTGCCCCATGAGAAATAGAAAAGTGTGTGTGTGTGTGTGTGTGTGTGTGTGTGTGTTGGGGTGGAGTACTGGGGTGGGGGAGCTGCCAGAGATGGGTAAAGGTGGTGTGGATGGATGGGGAGAACCAGAAATTATGCTCCTGTTTATATTTTCATCTGAGCCAGAGAAAAATTTTGGGTCTTCACTTGTCTCTCAATTGAAGCAGGCTTCTAAGAGTGTATGAAGCCTGTATCCAGACTTGCTGCAGAAGAATTCCAAACATGTGGAATATGACTCATCCATGCATTATCTTAGGAAACTGCTGGCTGAATTTTGGGGATGATGCCAGAAGCTCTGCTGGGCTACCCTCTTAGAAGTATGTATCAAGGGCAGCATGGGATCCTCCCCTGCAACCCAGGCCTTATCACAGAAACACAGTGTGCTGCAGTAGCTCCCATGCTGTGAACACAATGTAAGAAGGGGGCAAATATACAAACCAGAAGATGAAATCTGACATAAGACTTTAAACCCACATTGGTACTTAGGTACTGTATTTTTCTGTGTATAAGACACCCCCATGTATAAGACACTCCCTATTTTTTTGAACCCAAAATTAATAAATCAATATTTTAAAATAGGGTTGCCACAGTTTGGGCTGCCATATTTCAAGAGCCCGAGCCCAGCCGCCAGAACCCAAACTTGAGCCTGGGCCACCCGCACCTGCAGCAGAGCCAGAGCCCAAACCCCTACGCATTCACCATCTGTGTATAAGATGACCCCAAATTTTTTACTATTTTTTTTAGCAAAAACATTGTCTTATACACAGAAAAAGATAGTATATTGATCAAATAGTAAAGGTTTCCCTCATACTGCATTAGTTTAGGTTCCAGATTATTTTTGGCAGGGAGGAAAACTGAATATTTGCAGGCTTCCATGCACACAGAAGGCTAGTGTGTGCAAGGAAAATAATAGACTGAAGCCTTCTTCTTGACATACTCTTTTCCCATGTGCTGAGCCATTTCCCATTTTCAGCCTATATGCTACAGACCATAAATGCTTTTTCCATTTGATTCTATTTTAGTATATAAAGTAGCAGCACGTCTACAGCGAACTCGACCTAGCGGACTTACCAACACCAATGGTGCCAGACTGTGGATCATTTCACAAAGACCACAATTTGGGAATGGATTCGGTACAGACTAAAACAAAGGACAGTGATCAACCCTCTCTGGAAGGGCAGGAAACTGTGAACTTCTCTTTGTTTTCTGGAATGTGTGCCTGGGAGGGGTAAGGGGAGGAACAAGACAGGTGTCAAGATACTCAGGTTGCCACCTCAAAACCCTCCCTTTTTGTGATGTATCAATCAATGTAGTTTTAGGGGTGTAGCATGGGGATTAGGAGCTAATAAAAGTTGGGGTCTCCTTTTGTTCAGGGCTTCCATCTTGCTTCACCTTGTGGCAGGTGGGAGTCCTGTCGCGATAGTCTTCAATAAAGACCAAACCTACTGGCTGCTGTTTTGCTGTGGTATTCCTGGCTGGTGTCCTTATTTCTTTGTCCAAGGGAGCCCTCAGATTTCTCCGTTAACACTGCCAACGTTGCAAATCTAAAGGAGATTGGGCGGGGGGGGAGGTGGAACAGCCCCCCCGCTCACTTTCCATATAGGGGTGGGGGGTTTTTGGTCACTGGAATCTTGTGGAGCGCAATGTTTTCTCGTCTCTCTCCCACCCCACCCCCCTTCTCATTTAATCTCCTCACTTACTCTTCTCCACCCCGTGTCTTCTCTCCTCCGCCATCGGGTTTGGCACTATATATATGTGCGCGCGCTATATGTGTGTGTGTGTGTGTGGCACACACTTACATGGATCAATGGGAGAAATTGTGGAGAGAGGACATCGAATTCATGGCGTGCTATAATCTGAGAGAACATATTATGAAAATGCTACACAATGGCACCGCACTCCAGCAAAACTAGCAAAGATGTATAAAAACAGAACACCAACTTGCTGGAGGTGTAAGGATGGTATAGGGTCATATATGCACATGGTGGGAATTTACAGTCATTAAAGAATTTTGGAATAACATCTACAATGAATTAAAAAAATTATTTAAGATCTCATTTAAGAAAAAATCCAAAACCTTTCTCCTGGGAATAATGTCACCAGAAATCAAAAAAGAAAATAGACTACTTTTTATGTATACAACAGTAGCAGCCAGGATCTTAATCACAAAAAACTGGAAAAGTGACAAAACACCTACGAAAAAAGAGTGGCAGGTCCAAATGATGACAGGTTATCCAAAACAGAAAGTACAGATAGAATGGAAAATTTTTAAAGAATATTTGGAAAAGTATTACAATAACAAACATCTCCTGGCAGAAATAGAATGACCCTTGTAAAGCAACAAATATATGTTTTTTGATAGCTGATGAAAACAAAGAAAGAAATACAATAATTTGGAACTGTGTGTGAAAAAAACTGTAGAAATAATAATACAATGAGTCTAATCGGAAGTCAAATATGTTTGTTTTGCTTTGGTTTCTTCTTCTTCTCTCTTTTCCTCCTCTTTTCTCCCCCCCCCCCCTTTCCTCCAACCCCCCCCCTTCTTCTTTTTCTCTCTTTCTTTTTGTGTTTCCTTTTTTGGTCTTTCTCTTTTTGATATGTTAAGAAAAAGATAAAGTGATAATATGAAAACCTCAGTAAGTTAAAAGTGATGTTATGTAATTTCTTTAGTAGTATTTATAAAATGTTTAAACTGGTTAATTGTAACGATTTGATGTAACAACCACTGTGGTTCTTTTTCTTTGTTATTGTCGAATTCTAAATAAAGTTTTATTCACATGGGGGGGAAGGATTAGATTTAGATTTATTGCGGCCATTGGCCCATATCGAAAACAATACATCAGAATTTATCCATAAACAATACAATTTAAACAGTTCCAAGTTAAAACACCCTTATAAAACCAATTTTACTTTAGTTAAGTAAACACTATACACAATAAGCTCCCTCTATGTAAACCGCAATTCCGATCCATCAGATTTTGGGGGGTATACGTCTTAGTTCTGGCACTTATTGATGGTTCTTAAGTTTAGCTAAGCTGTCCGAAACACACAGTGATCCATTTCTCCTCTTTTGAAATAAAACATTACTCAGATATCTAGCGATTGCAAGGGATCTACTTGTATCTTCGTCGTTTAATAAGTATATTATTTGGGCTTCCTGAGGACTGTCCGCAATTCTCGATAAATATGGGGCCAGAAACTTGGACCGTGAAGCCGAATGTAATGGACAACAGAAGATTATATGATATAACGATTCTATAGATCCACTTTTACAGTCACAGAGGAGTGAGATCTGTCCGTTGGAGAGTCTGTTACCCAACACGTTTGATGGGAAAGCATTGAATCTAGCCATTATAAAGGCATACCTGTGCGTCACCACAGATAAGGTAGTTAAGTAAGATGGAAGTTTCGTTGGTGGTGTTAAGCCAAGGTTTATCGGCGAACAGGTGCCACCACCTGTCGCAATATTAAATTGGAAATCCATCTCCTCTAATTTGTGGGTTATAATTCTTTTGGCCAAAGTTAAATCCAATTTTAATAGTTCAGATGGAGATAGTCCTAGGGACACAAGTTTCCCATGTATTATTTTTGCCCAGGGGCTAGGGAAGTCATCTCTCCAGAGGCATTGTATCAAGTGGAGATTTGGAAGTTTATGCCATAAAGCCAACCAGTAACAGAGGATGCATTTCCATAATGTGGTTTCTAGAGATGGGGGGGAAGGATATTCCTTTTATTTATTTCTCCTCCCTTATTTCTTGATTAAGAATTTCAAAAGTTAGAATAAATAATAACAGGGTAAGGGGACACCCCTGCCTGGTTCCCTTTTCAATTTTAAACGCTTCTGACAATTCACCATTAATTATCAAATTTGCCTTTTGACAGTCATATATTGCTTGTATCCTTCTAATAAACTTCTCTCCCATTTCCATTAATTCCAAATTCTTCTTAAGAAATTTCCACAACACATTGTCAAAAGCTTTTTCAGCATCATCAAATATAAATGCAGGTCACGTGGCCTGTTTCCGGTAGTGGTAGCCTGCTGAGGGTGTCTGTGTCCATCGCCTTCCCAGGGCGGTGAATCAGTGCATACTGGTAGCTGGAAAGGAAAACTGACCACCTGAGGATGCAAGGAGACAGCACTTGGGGGGGCTGCTTTTCGGGGGACAAACAAACCAAGCAATGGCTTGTGGTCAGTCACCACAGTAAAGGGCTGCCCGTAAAAGAAATCATGGAATTTTTTTACTCCCTTCACGATTGCCAGACCCTCCTTGTCGATTTGCAAGTAGTTCTGCTCAGCTGTGGTGAATGTCTAGGGAAAGTATGCTACCGGCACTTCTCTTCCATCTGGGCGTTGGTGTCTCAGGACAGCGCCAATTCTGTAGGGCGAGGCGTCGCATGCTAGCACCACCAGAGGCCTCTTGTCAAAGTGTGCCAAGACCGAGTTTGAGACGAGCAAGTCCTTGACTGCTGGAATGCGGCCTCCTGGCGCTGGCTCCACACCCAAGGGGCCCGCTTGTCCAGGAGTCTGTGTAGGAGCTCCGCTACTGCCGCCTAATGGGGGAGGAAGGCATGGTAAAAGTTCAGTAGTTCCAAGAAGTCCTGAAGTTCAGTCTTACCCTTGGGTGCTGGGGCATCACAAATGGCCCGTACCTTGTCCCCAGTCAGGTGGACCCCTTCTGCGTCCACCATAAATCCCAGAAAGTCCACCTGAGGCACTCTTAGTAGACACTTTTCCCGCTTCACCTTGAGACCCGCTGTCTGGAAATGGTGCAGAACGGTGCGGAGGCGGTCCTCAAACTCCTCTGGTGTGGGCCCGGCAATCAACACATCATTGAAGAAGGGGGTGACGCCAGGAATCCCTTTAAGGAGGGAGTCCATTAGATTCTGGAATATGCCTGGTGCCACGCTGAGACCGAATTGTAGCCGCTTTACCTTGAAAGCTCCTCTGTGCATCACAATCGTCTGTGCCTCTGCTGTGGCCTCATCCACTGGCAGCTGTTGATAGGCCTGGGCCAAGTCCAGCTTGCCAAAAAAATTTGACCCAGCCAGGGTGGCGAGGACATGAATTCACGGGCTACACAACCCGTAAACATGAACTCGGCCCACAAGGGATCGAAAACATTCTTCTTAGTGGTGGACTCCTACACCAAATGGATGGAAGTCACACAGGTACCGTCCACTTCTATGTCTGCAGCCATCCGGGTACTACGCAGGCTGTTTGCAACCCACGGGCTCCCTGACACTCTCGTCTCAGACAACGGAACCGCATTTACGTCAGGAGAATTCCAGACCTTCACAGAGCGTAACCCCATCTGCCACATCCGCTCGGCGCCATTCCACCCTGCCACCAATGGCCAAGCAGAGCACATGGTGTGGACCACAAAGGACACCCTCCGCCGCATGATGCAAGGGGATTGGGAGTACCACCTTGCCACATTCCTTCTAGCACAGCACAGCACCCACAGCTCAACGACTGGCTGGAGCCCTGCTGAACTACTAATGGGCCAGCACCTCACAATCAGACAGGAGCGCCTTCACTCCGACAGAACTCAGTATGAGGTAGTGGTGGGGGAAGGCAGGAACCCCCGGACCTTCGTGACCCAGGACCCAGTGTACGCAAAGAATTTTGGGGCAGGCCCGGCATGGGTACCCGCCACAGTCACCAGGGTCACTGGCCCCGTGTCGTGCGAGGTGCTAACGGGGGGGGGAGGCAATGCTGGCGCCGCCACTGCGACCAGATACGGCGACAATTCCCAAGAGAAAACCAGGAGGAGGACAGGTCAGAGGAGTCCCAAGGGAACAGTGGGGCAGTGAGGCCCATAGAACAGGAGGGGCCAGCAGGAGAGGCAGAATCAGTAAATACAGAGAGGACCCGCGAGGCTGAAAGGACACGGAACCAAAGCCACGACTGAGCGAGATGGTTGTGCCAGACCAAATGGCCCCATCGCAGCCAGCATCCTTGGAACACGAGCCAGAACCCGAACCCCTGACCAGGGAACACCCCAGGCTGCAATGCACACGTAGGCGGCTGGCGTAACTTGAGGACTATGAATGCAACCTCCCGGGCAGGACTGGAACTTAGAGGGGAGGGTGTTATGTACTGAGTTGAATAGGATCCAAAAGGCAGCAGTCTGATTGGTCCTAGAACAATAGGATCCAGAATGCAGCAGTCTGATTGGTCCACAGGAGCCACCCAATCCAGCTCCAGGTGGAAGTGAATCCGCAACCTGATTGGCCTATAGGAGAATCCCGGAATTAGCCAATCACGTGGGGCCCATTGTGTAAATAATGTATATAAAGCAGACACTTTGGAGGGATTTGCATTCCTCACTACTATGAGCTGAGTAAAGAGCATGAAATCCACACTTGACTCCAAGTATTTTTTATTTCAATATACTCCAAGGTATTGAGGTATACTGTCTCTAAACATGGAGGCTTGATTTAGCTAGTGCAAACCTATCCTCCATGAATCTTTCTAAAGCAGCATAAAGATTGCTAATGATAAGCTGTGTTTAATCCATCCCCTTGGTACTATGACTTTTTTATGCTGAGGCAAAGAGCCATTAGAATTTACATACATTAAAAATGAATAAGTAAAATGATAATCAGCACATTTTTGCCTCTACAAAAATAGTATTAGCAGTGTCTTAAGATTTAAGTGGTACATGCATTGCACATGGAAAGAGCTTTATACATCTCTCAGGATGCTGAACTATTACTATTTTATAGGGGGTTATGGGAAAAGTGAATCTGCAGAAGCAGTTTTGTTTGAAGGAAAGGAATTAACTCCTTGTGTTGATGTTTTGTCAACTGTCCTGCTATTGGGAATTTTTTTAGAAAGGTTATAAAAATCAAACAAATTCTTAATGGCAAACTAAAGAAAACTAGTTTTTCAAAAAAAACAACAACCACAGATTGCAGTCTTACACTTGCAATCTTCCTTTCTGGCACACATTTTCCCTAAGGCATGCTACAGTTATATTATAATGCTCGGAGACAGCTGGTAATAGATGAGTCCCAAAAAGTTAAGGGTTGGTTCAGATAACAATGCAGAAACATCAGATGTTTGATGCAAGTGTAGAAAGATGCAGCTGAACAAGAACACTTTGACAGAGCTCAAAAGATGCCCTTTTAGTGCTTTCCATTCAATTTGTGATGAATCACTCTCTTTGCATGTGCCCCAGAAAGATGCAGAAGGAAGTTCAAAAGCAACCAGCTGCTTTCCTTCCAAATCAAAACAGTTCCACTTCCCTGAGGTGCAGAAAGTTTCAGTGCAGCTTGTAAGGAAAGGATGGTATTTATGAGCTATGTGGGGTCTTAAACTAGGGATGGAGCAGGGACATGCGTGCAACACCAATGTCTCCAGGTGTGCTGTTTTGTACTTCATACAATAACCAAAGGGGTGTTGGAGCTGTGATCAGAAGCCCTGATAAGTCAGGCCTCCTGTTTGCGGGGAGACTTCTAAGTGCATTCTATTGAATGCATTTTGAAAACTCCTCAGGTATCTGTGGCCTTGGGGGTGGGGATTGTGTGCATGCCCTTGTCCCCACCCCACCCCCACACACTTTGACCCTTCAAGTGTTCAAGCAAATGTTTCAACATAATCACAGCGTTTTCTTGAAATATACGTTTGGCTTCTGTCTAGCAATAAAGGCTTGAGACACATTATATGGGTTGGCTGAATTAAGGGTCACATCTCTATAAATTTATATTAACTGATACGCAATATATTTAAGTCATTTATGGACAAAATTCCCCTCTTCACAAACACAGTGGAGGTGAATCTGCTCCTGAAGTGAGACAAGATTATCCTCCTCCCAGTTTTCAGGTGACACTACCACAATTTTAAACATTGTACTGCAGCTTTTTCTTCACAGCCCAGACACATTAAGAGATGGGCTGAAGAAGCCCCAGCAGTGCCACCTGTCTTCCAGCCTTCATTAAGTCTGGGGGGTCAGGGAGGCCACAAGGTGCTCCCTGTTTCAGATACCCCAGTGCTGGAAAAGAATGAGACCTTAAGATGCTCATCAGCATCACAAAGCCTCCTCACATACTGAGCTTCCCAGTTCTATCCCATTTATGCAAAAGGCAAGTCGTAACCAAATTAAATGCACTCCAATAGTACAAAATGGGTAAAAATATGCAGTTTCATTGGCTAAATCAGGAACAGATTTCAAATAATAATTTCTATATGATTTGACCTCAAATGTAACCCTGCAAGGAAGAGGTGGGCAGACCAAGCAACTTGAGATATACATAACTGGTTTGAATTGGACCAACATATCATACTCCATTCTGTAAAGCTGCACTTCATGGCTGGGAGGGCTGACAAATCAATCGGTAAACATGGTGGGAAGCACGTAGATGCATAGGGAGCACCATGGGCTCCAAACAGCCTTGGTTCCAATAACAGTTCATTTTCCAGCTCCATAAGACAGTCCCATAATTCAAATGTTCACAGAATTGAGAGCTGTCTCTCATTTCCTCATATCAAAGTCCAAACCTAGCATACAGATGTCACCTCTAGCTGATGGATGCTCACGGATTAGCAATCCTTGTTGGTGGCCAAGCTACACTAAAGCTAAACAGATGTTGCATATGCAGGTAGGACAGCATAGCCTGTAACAATATTTTGTTTGACCAATGTTAGGTATCCTAAACCTGGTCGTACCTGGAGGTAAGTCCTGATAGTGCACACAGTCCCTAGAGCAACACTAGAGAGCAATCAGACAGTCCAAATGGTCAAATACAGGTGCAAGTCAAATACAATGAGCAAGGTCAAACCATAAGGCCAGGTTCCTGCCTCTGCAGAAAATCCAAGGTTAAAATACCTGCAGTACAGTGCAGTTCTCAAAGCAGTCAAGCCACGGTCCATCAATGTAGAAAGTTGAATACACAGAAAGTATTTTCCTTGCTTCCCTTTTATCCCTTCCAATCTTGATGAAAGCACCTAGGTTTGCTCCAGCTGAGCAGCTGTGCCTCTCCACTTGACATGTCAGCTGCCCCTTCAACATCCATGAGTAGCCATAGATATAGCCATGGGGGGCGGGGGGCAGCTGCCCCCCCAAATCAAATAAATCAATAGAAATACATATCTAACTGAGGTTCTGCCCCCCCCCCCCATGAATCCTAGCTAGTATGCCCTTAAGTCCCCAACCTCCCAACTTGTCCCAGTGTGTACCAGTCATGGCTACACCACTTGCTGGGATCCTCTTCCCCTTCCTCAGTGTCCTGCCAGTTCATGACATATGGGGAGAGCGGACTTATTTTGTTTTGTCCCAAAACCAAGCCTCAGAAAACACCCCAGCATGCTTCCCTCTCTTGTTTGTAAGCTCTCGTAGGAACCCAATGAAGTTTTTGCATTGCTGCTTCAGTTTTCCTAAAAGGTGATTATTTAAATATTTTAAAATACTATAGTATGTGGTGGAATTATTAAATTAAATTGTAGACTTGGAAGGCACATTATGGTACGTTTATAAGGTGGTACATTTGTAGATGTAGAATGTGAAATTATAGGAACATTTCTTCCAGTAAATATCAGAAGGATTCAGGAACAATGTTAAACTAGAATTTGAATGTGGGCACTTATTGTGAATGTTTACTCATTGATGCATTTCTCATGAAGATTGTGAGGATGGTGGTCACTGAAAACAGTCCAAAATTCTTTCTGCTGCTACCCAGAACAATGTGGAAATACAGCAGCTACTACTTTCATGTCTCTTTAAAAAAATGAACAAAGAAAGCTTTTAATAATTTCACAAGATACAGAAAGAACAGGACACATTAAGCCACATATCCCAGAGCATCACATAAACCCCCAGGGGGCCATGGTGTGCAGCACATAGGGGAATTTCTAAGTGTGGGAAAAATTTGTTATATAAAGATCGGCCTATGTGACATTATTACTATGCCCATTTGGAAGAGTACAGTGTTTAACTCTTTCCAGTCCTATTAAGTTCACTTATATATTTGTACTCTTCTCTAATTACTGAAATTACTCCAATGAACTTTTGAACCTGAGAGTAAAGACACTTGAAGCTAAAGTGTGAAGTAACTTTCCAACAAGTAGAACAATAATAATAACAACATTAAGAGAAGACAACACCCTGCCCAATTGCACACAGGGTAATCTTTTGAAAATTGACATTTGTCTGTTTTTCTAGTTAAATGATATAACCCTTTGGCAATGCATATTTAAGTTTATGAAGTGCAGAATAAGAGAAGAATGATAAATGTTTTTGTTTTTCTTTAAAGAAACACAGTGCATTCAACATTGTTTCCCACATTTACATTTTTAAACTTTGGGTGGATGGTCTCTAGAAGTACGAAACCCAATAACAGAACTATAACAACTGACTGAAAGGTAATACAACTGTTAATTGTGCATACATGGAAATTGCATTCCATGGGCTAAAAGTAGTTTTTACATCACTGGGAAAGTAAAATGTTATCTGAGACATGGAGGGGAGGAAAAAGGAAAAGAGGGGCATTCCAGGATCAAATCAGAAACTGGGATGGCTTCTTTAATTCTGGAACTGTCCCTGGAAAATCAGGACATTTGGAGCAGTTTGCAATGGAAACCACTTTCCCTCCGGGGGAAAGCAGAGTCCCCACTACTCCTTAACTGATAGGTTCAGTTGCAACTGCTGCTAAAATGGAGGTGGAAAACTAAGGAATCTTAGTTTTAGCCAGGGTTTCAGTGCAAACTCCTTCCTGATCAGAATATGGTTTGAATTGAGATTCTAAACAGTATTGGACTCCCTACCTGTTCACTCTTGGTTTCCTCAGGGTTTGGATGTGTGACCTAGTTCCCAGTGGGGAATTAGTTCATGCATCAGCATGTAGTGGAACTGAACTCAGCTGATGCATGGAAGTTCAATTCTGCTTTCTGCTTGGATTGGCAACCATGTTCTCCCCCGTCCCACATCTAATGTGATATATGTCAAGCAGAAGGCTAGGCTAAAACCCTTCTCTCTGGCATCCAGTTATCTAAGTGTCAGGATTATTTATTGGATGGAGAAGCATTCAGTCATATGAGTCTAAAATGGCACAACCACACAAATTTACCTCCTCTGTGAGAACTAGGCCTTTACCAGCTTCCTAAAAATGGGGGTATGATTCACAGAGCAGACAAATACAACATTCCTAGAGCGGACATAAAAAGGGGGTGTCTGGACCAGCCAGTCGGAACTTCCTGTTTCATCCTTGGTTGGGACAATCTTCCTCTACATGTGACCAGAGGCTTATGCAAGCCTGGCAAACCTATATCTGTGTAAGTTTAAAAAGGGGGGGGGGTTACTCTGCTAAATGGTAGAACATGTTAACACAAGTTGGGAAGGATATAATTAAACAATATATCCTCTCCTGCCTCCCTGAACATTCCCACAAAAACACGAACCAGTCTCCCTGTAGAGGAAATTTCTTTAAACGGGTGCCATCAGTGAAAAATCCCTGCTTCAACAGATGATCTAAGTAAGTGGGATATATTATTTCTTACAGAAGAAATCTTGGCGTATAAAGATTAGCACCTTGAGCGTTACCTGAAACTTAGGGTATGTTCACACAGCTGCTTACTCCACATCCAATGTGCTCCAACTGCTAGTTTTTGAAGCTGCATTCACACACTAGTAGCAATTCCTATGGATCCTGTAGTTTATTGACAACTATGGCTATTTGATGCTTTCCCTCCACTAACCAAACCAGCTTCAATATAGTTAGAAAACTGGGGGCAGAGTCAGGGGGAAGGAAGGCTCTCCCACACCTGGGGCGGGGTGTCGAGGGCAAACCACCCGGCGGCACATACACAGCGCCACTACATACAGCACATGTGGAGCGCTGCGCATGTGCCATACAGACTGCAGTGGGATCCTCCACTCGTGGCTGCAGCAGGGTGGGGCAAACTGCCCAGTGGCACATGCGCAGCACCGTTACGTACATCGCATGTGCGTGTACGTACGGCAGAGGGATCCTCCACTCATGGCTGCAGTGGCAGCGGAGGGATCCCACACTGGAGCCAGTGTGGTGTAGTGGTTAAGAGCGATGGACTCGTAATCTGGGGAACCGGGTTCGTGTCTCCGCTCCTCCACCTGCAGCTGCTGGGTGACCTTGGGCTAGTCACACTTCTTTGAAGTCTCTCATCCCCACTCCCCTCACAGAGTGTTTGTTGTGGGGGATGAAGGGAAAGGAGAATGTTAGCCGCTTTGAGACTCCTTCGGGTAGTGATAAAGCGGGATATCAAATCCAAACTCTTCCTTTGCATGGCGGGGTGAGCCCCCCATGGGGTGCAGCCTTGTCACCTCCCTCAGAGATGGCACCTGGAGTGGACTGCCCCCTGCCCCCTTCCTCTGCCACTGGGCAGAGTAAGTGGTGATGTGAACATAGCCTAAGAGCCATCACACAGGTGCAGATGGGCACAAATGAAGGTGACAGTTCAATGAATAGGAGTTCCAGGGCAAACCAAAAAGGTCTTTCACAGCAGGTGAAGACAACCCCGTCTCCTCTCTGATGTGAACACCTCTGTGCAAATGAGACTTGACATCACCTGCTGCATTTCAGACCACTAATTTGAACAGAAGATGAAGGGGTTGTTTTAGTCCAGTTGTAATCAGCACCAGTTACAGTAACCATTGAACTACTGCATTTACTAGTTCAATGCACAGTTTATTACAGTTGTCTTAATAGGAAGTCACCAGGCCACCAATATTCATGAAGGAAATAGGAGGGCTACCAAAACCACTTCTCTCTTGTTTCCACCCGTCTTGGAAGAGAAGAAGAAGGGCAGTTGTACCTGAAAGCAATTTTGTAAAGCCATAATCACATACACCCATCCCCCCCCCCGAATGTGGATGGACTATTTGATCAGTGTTTTAATCATTGTCCCCAGGTAGCATTTGATCTTGCTGTGCTTTTCCATTTTCACAGCTCCAGACTCCTGGCTGAGATGCAAAATTCACTTTCAATAGAAGCAGCTGCTGCCACTGTGATACAATCAAATGCAAAAGATCAAGCAGACTCCTGGTCTGTTAATATGCTCATGACTAGGGACAGCCCAGTGCTCCCAGCTGGTACAGGGAAGGCTCCTTCGTGATGTGCTTAATAGGCAGATCTGGGTAGTACCCAGTGATGTTTTTAGTTTAAAAAATTGGTTGCTGGCCCTCATGTATTGATAAAAATGCTGTTGGGAACTAGCAAAAATAGCTGCTATGGGCAGCGTGTCAGGAGAGAAGTTAGGATACCAGTGAGTACCATTTAAAAAAGCAGTGACAGTACTCAGCCTAGTCAGGGCTCTGACTTGGCCTTGAGGTTTATAAAATTATGAATGCTGTAGTGCTCGCTCCAGCAGCACAGACACTAAAATTGGAACGCTACAGAGATGAAGAGTAGCAAAATCACACACACACATATATGCACACATATCCCCACTGCCTGCCAAAAAAACCTCCAATTTGTCTCTAAACATTAGGGAAAGCTTTTGGAAGAGTTGTCTGCAGTTTCAGTCCCTTCACAAAATCCAGCTAGCTCTGACAAGGGGCATGGAGCTGCCAGCACTCCCTGCCTTGATCGCCTATTGTCAGGGAACTGCCATCAGCTCAGAGGTGAGTGGAAGGGCAGTTGTGTTATAGGGAACCTCCGAAGATCTTGCGAAGCAGTTCCTCCTCTGGCGAGGAGGAGGGACCAGGAGATGCTAGGGAGAGCCTCAACACCGAGCCTGAGCAAAGCGGAGGGAAGTACCCCTTTGCCAGCACCCACTCTGCACAGTAGGTTTCAGCGCAGAGAGGGGAGGAGAAGGATGGGGGTCACGCGACTATTATGCTGGGGGAGGTACAAGGACTGGCCACTCCCAGATTCTGCTAGCGACTGAGCCAGACATGAACTTGCGATGCTCTTCCCTGTAAATAGTTTGCACTAAGAATAAAGCTTGGAAGACAGGTCGGAGTCTTGCCTGTTTGCTCTTGAGCAACCACACTACCACCTGACACCTATCTTCTGACCTCCGGCATCTGACTGACCTGTTTTGAAAACAAGATTCTGCCAATAAGATTTTTATTGAATTTCACATTATTTAACAAATTAACATGAAATTTAATACAATTTTAAAAAGTGGTCCCACCCTTCCATGCTGCATTATACTTTTAATTATTTCATTACAATTACAATGATAATCATTTTTCTCCCGCTGCTCATATTTTTATCCTGCCCGCAATGCCAAATATCTAAATCTTGTTTTCTCCTGCTCCAGAGGCTAGGACCCAAAGCAATGGCTTCAAGTTTGTTTGTTTGTTTTTAAAAAATGGAACGCTTCACGAATTTGCGTGTCATCCTTGCGCAGGGGCCATGCTAATCTTCTCTGTATCGTTCCAATTTTAGTATATGTGCTGCCGAAGCGAGCACCATGAGGAAAAACTTTCTGACAGTAGGAGCTGTTTGACAGTGGAATGGTATACCTTGGGAGGTTGTGGACTCTCCTTCCTTGGAGGTTTTTAAGCAGAAATTGGACGGCCATCTGTCAGGGATGCTTGAGCTGAGATTCCTGCACTGTAGGGGGTTGGAGCAGAGGACCCTTGGGGCCAGGGAAGGGAATGTGGACAGGGAAGTGGGGACAAAATGAACTTTTTGAGTATCCAATTCATAGTTTTTGGATTACTGATTTTTAGATGCGGGGTACTGCTAACTTCAATAGGAAATTACCTGCTGTCACAACTATTGGCAGGAGGTTTACAAATAAAAGGCAATTTTCTTCACTGAGCCTTTAGAGTTTTCTCTTTGGCGTGTAATTCAAAGAAGTGTTTTCCAGGTCAGAGAGTTTCTAGCTCTTGCATGTGCATTGAGGGAAGTCACTGAGAGGTAAACAAGTTCACTTCAGCAAAGTTTTTCTTAAAAAAATAGAAATACTGCTTGCATATGTCTCTATGTTAAATGAGTTTGCATTAAAGAAATGCCCAAGCTAAACATGGATGCAAACCTGCCTACACACATCAGAAGCCAGTGTGATTTTTTATGCTTTACAACAGGGGTTCTCAGGAGCTCTATGAACCAGGCACAAAAATGAGACAAATTTATCCGCCTGTATATAATAAACTGCATGCAACATTTTGTGTGTGTTTATGTGCATTTTCCTGGGATGGGGACTTTTATCAGATTCTCAGAGGGGTCCCTGACCACTGCTGTGAAGTGTGGAATATGCTCTGGTTCATTCTGAAAGAACAGTACTCTTCTATGCCCCAACAAGGTTTTCATTTTATCTCTGCTGGTTATGGCAAGGAGCTGAATTTTTTTGGGTGGTGATATTTTTAACTAGAAATCAGCTAGTCCACCAAGGTGAGAACACTTTGGTGCTGCTAATGCAGCAGCTTGACTTCCCTCAAGACAGATGGATGCCAACAAAAAATAGCTAACCTGTGTTAAGTAATCCTAGTTATATTGCCTGCTTAAAAATACCGGCAACTCCCCATTTGTGTGTGATGGGATGCATGTAAGCCTGCCCCATTCCAGCGCTTCCCTGTTCCACTGCCTTCCGGTGCCGAAAATGTCTCACATATCAGTGGTCGTGTGCAAATGGGGAGTTGCTTGTATAAGATTGATCTTCAAAGTGGGTGGAATTGAACTTACACAACAGCTTAACAAGTTTATCAAAAAAAACTGGAAAACAGAAGCGATCCCAGCAGACTATAGGGATCTTAGCAAACCGTCTCTTAACAATATCCGAGGTGACCCTTACTGAATCCCAAAATGGTTTTCGGCCTTCTAGGGGGACAGTGGACATGATTTTCACCACTCGACAGCTTCAGGAAAAATGCAGGGAACACAACCAACCCCTGTATATGGCGTTTATCAACCTGACTAAGGCTTTTGACACTGTAAATCGTAATGCCCTGTGGACTGTCCTTCTGAAAATTGGCTGCCCAGATAAATCTGTAAACATCATTCGGCTCCTCCATGATAATATGACAGCAACAATCGCAGATAACAATGGCTCACAAAGTAAACCATTCACAGTGGGATCAGGTATTAAACAGGTTTGTGTTATTGCCCCAACTCTATTCATTATTTTCATTGCCATGATCCTACACTTTGTTGAAGGGAAACTCCCCACTAGGGTAGAAATCATATATCGAACAGATGGAAAGCTGAAGAGCAA